ATCAAACGTTTCTTTTGTGATGTATGTTTTATAACCATCAAAGTTTCTTTGTGATGTATGTTTTATAACCATCAAAGTTTCTTTGTGATGTATGTTTTATAACCATCAAAGTTTCTTTGTGATGTATGTTTTATAACCACCAACGTTCCTTACTACTGTACATTTTAATAATCATCTTTGCAACTTGATAAAGTATTTTTTTTTAAGAATCAACGTTTCATGTTACAGATGATGGTCATGTTAGCGCTCTGGAGCTCCAAGATGTGCCATGGTCTTCTCCAATTCAACCAGATTTGCCTGAAGCAGAAGATGGTAGATATAAAGATATGTTCAAAGATGAAGATATAACCAACATTTCTTTTGTTCCTGGTGGTTACCTTACAAAAGAAGACACTGATGATATACAAAAACAAGATGACGGAGAAAAGTTTATTCATTCCGACGAGAATGATGACGAATATAAAGTGAACAAGGAAAAGCACTCTTCAGAGGAAGAGGTCAGAGATGAAGAAAATCCTTCAGAAGAAGTCAAAGATGAAGAAAATTCTTCAGAAGAAGTCAAAGATGAAGAAAATCTTCCAGAAGAGGAAGTAAAAGAGGAAGAAAACCCTTCAGGAAAAGAAATAAACGAAGAAGAACACTCTTCAGAGGAAGAAGTCACAGATGAAGAGAACCCTTCAGAGGAAGAAGTCACAGATGAAGAGAACCCTTCAGAAGAAGTCAAAGATGAAGAACATTCATCAGAAGAAGACATTAACGAGGAAGAGAACCCTTCAAAAGAAGAAGTTACAGATGAAGATAACCCTTCAGAAGAAGTCACAGATGAAGAGCATCCTTCAGAAGAAGAAAGCACAGATGAAGAGAACTCTTCAGAAGAAGAGAGCTACCAATCAGAAATAGAAAGTGATTTGGTTAATAACTATAATTCCCAATTGCATGAAGCTCTGGAAACAGTTGCCCTGTTGGTAGAATCAGAGAATGTGCCAGATACAGACCTTACTGAACAAATGGCCTTCGTCCCTAAAGCTCTGACTAAGGATAACCTGGTGTGAATTGTGAAGAAATACACAAATAGGTTTTTAACTTATTTTATGATCTAAATATTTAAACAAGAGCCACTAAATTGCCAGTAACACGACTATTGTATTTATCTTTGTCAGAATAATAACAATAAAAAACATTTTAAAGTTGTTACTTCGATTTTTATAGAATGTTCTCGTATATATAGCTTAATTTGTCAAGGATTCTTTCGGTTTCTTTATGTACTGTTTTTATTTCAATTTCTTGGTTGTTGAATGAATTAAAAAGCTTGAATGCATCACAGTTATTGTCCATTTCTTCAGTGGGGTAAAACTAGAAACTAAAAATACTATGTTCTAGTAGAACTATAAACTAAACAACTTAAGGTCCAGTAAAACTAGAAACCAAACAAGTTAAGTTCTAGTAAAACTAGAAACTAAACTAACTAAATTCCAGTAAAACTAGAAACTAAGCAAATTAAGTTCTAGTAAAACTAAAAACTAAACAATATAAGTTCTAGTAAAACTAGAAACTAAACAATATAAGTTCTAGTAAAACTAGAAACTAAACAACATAAGTTCCAGTAAAACTAGAAACTAAACAACATAAGTTCCAGTAAAACTAGAAACTAAACAAATTAAG